CTTGAACTAGGAAGGCCCAGATCAACCTACTGGGATGACTCTTTAGAGAACAGTGAACTAATCCATGTAATTGGGATGAAAGGTTTTTAGAGTTGATGCATCCATGAATATTAAATCTCTGCCCAAAGTTTGATGTGGGGTTTGTCAAGAAAAAATACTGACTATCCTTTCCCTTCTCCTCCTCTTCCTAATCATTTCCAACACCCTGCCCCCTCTCTGTCCTCTCTGTTCCCTGTTACCATGGCTGGTATTACTCTATAACCTCATACTAAGTGTCAGCAAATATAAGGGAAAATAAAATACAGCCTTTGTCTCTTTATATTTTAGCTGAGAAGGCAAAACTAATTTATATAGAAGAAATGAAACAAATAAAGGGGAAAATAAAATTTAGCCTTTGTCTCTTTGTATTTTAGCTGAGAAGGCAAAACTAATTTATATAGAAGAAACGAAGCCCAGTGGTGGTGAAATTGTGATCATGGTGTATAAGGTGCCTTGTGAGAGAAGCAGACTGATCATCTAGGCCTGCTCTGACTTCCGTGCTCTGCATGGAGTCTCTGAAGGTCCGTCACCCAGCCCAACCCCTGAAACAGCATATTTCCTTTTCCTTAATTCTCCTTATTGTCAGGTCTCCTGGAGGTTTGACAGCTTGGTGAACACTAAAATACAAGCGAGTATTGAACTTGCTCACTCTTGTCTGTTTTTCATTTTTTTCTTTCATCATTCCTTGTTCGTTTTTTTTTTAATTTCTGTCCATCTAAATTCCTCAACCCCCCCCCTGACATTTTAGATAAATTACTACATATTTTGCTTTCTTTACTCATAAGTGAACTCAAGGCTGCCTTTTCCCTCTTGGCCTGTCTTAATTTTACCCCACAAGATTTACTGTCATACTTTTCCTATTTATCAAAATATTTTCCAACCTCCAATTTGACTTCATTTTTGACTCACAGGTTTTACATATTATGTAATCATTGGGACTTTTTCCAATTATTAATTTTTTTCTGTTATTCAGTTTAAGTTTTAATCCTCTGTGGTTAGAATATTCTATAAATCTAATTGTTTTAGTAATCTACACTCTGTGGTGAAATCATGTGGTCTTTTGGTAAACCTTGTGAGAATGAAATATCTTAGTTACAGTGAACACTCTAATGTTGGTGACAGGAGGCTCTTTCCATCAGCTGTTTAAAATTTGCTAACCGTGTTTGAATATTCCACGTTTTTGTTGGGCTTTTTTCATTCATTGACTCAGTAGAATGGTATTGAATTCAATAATAATTAATTGTGGGGAACTGGCAAAGCCTTGGGTAAGTTTGTAAATAACAGTTGAAATCTTGAGTAAACCTGTATTGTTGACATGGGAATGACCATGTCAAGGACCAATGACTAAAACCCATGAGAATCTGCCAAAGCCTTCCTCTCCCTGGGTCAGGATCAGAGGGATGGCAAAGCCTTCCCTCAGATAAGTGTGAGTGTTTGACAGTGTGTGCAAGTATGAATGTTTACAAATGATTGACAAGTATACTGACTGGTTATGTGTGTAAATTTGACACAGGCTGGAGTTATCACAAAGAAAGGAGCTTTAGTTGAGGAAATGCCTCCATGGGATACCAGCTGTAAGGCATTTTTTCAGTTAGTGATCAGGGGGAGAGAGCCTAGCCCACTGTGGGTGATGCCCTGGACTGATACTCTTGTGCTCTGTGTGAGTTTCTGTCCTGACTTCCTTTGGTGATGAACAGTGATGTGGAAGTATAAGCTGAATAAACCCTTTCTTCTCCAACTTGCTTTTTGGTCATGATGTTTTGTGCAGGAATAGAAACCCTGACTAAGACAGTAAGTGTGCCCCAAACCTAGAAAATGTAGGTTTTCTCCAATTGTACATTTACAGTCTCAGACTACTTGCCTACAGAGACTTACATAGACAAGCTAACCTTCCCCCTGTGCTGAACATACTAACCAGGCTGAGGGTCTGGCTTGTTATGTATTAGGTACCCTCTACGAGAACAAACACAATCTACCTAATCCCAGATTTTATCTATATACGTCTGTTCTTTTTGATTTCCTCACCTCCCCAGATAGCTTTCTAGGACCAAGCTAAGCAGGTAAGGCAATTAATGATTTGTTTACTTCTTGATTAATTAAAAATGTATGTTGCTTGGTGATTTGAGTGCTTGTAGGTGTGAATGCTTGTTTTCTAGGGAGTGTTGAAAGGATTAGGAGATATGGCCTTGTTGGAGGAAGTGTGTCACTGGGGTGGGCTTTAGGTTTCAGAAACCCAAACCAGGTCCAGAAGCTTTCTCTCTTCCTGCTGCCTCCAGATCTGGATGTAGAACTTTCAGCTCCTTCTCCAGCACCGTGCCTGCCTGTGTGCTATCATACTTCCTGCCATGATGACAATGGACTAAACCTCTGAGACTGCAAGCCTGCCCCAAGTAGTGTGTTCCTTTTTAAGAACCGCTGTGATCATGGTGTCTCTCCTCAGCAATACAGGTCTGTATCAGTTAGGCTATGCTTAGGCTCATTGCAGATATAAAATGTTTGCATATTAATACATTTATCATCACTGAGATCCTTATCTTGATTCCTATATTCTTTAAATCTACAGAACTTTACATTAATACATGGATAATGGCATAATTTTTCAGTTAGAGTTCATATAAAAATATTGTTTCCTTTTATATTCAATATTTTGTTCATTTATGGTAAAAGTGTGGTTTTTAAGACCACATATATTTTTAGAGTATCTAATAATAAAATAATACAATTTTGAGGTGTGTGTGAGTGAGATCACGTGTGTATGTGTGTGTCTCCTTTCCTTAACATGATTGTGAGATTCAGATACATTGTTGCACATAGAAATAGATGTGTTACTTTCTGGTTCTATTAGTCATTCTTTTCACTGTTACAACAAAATACTTTACACAGGAAACAAAGAAGGAAGGGTGTATGGGAAGGCATGGCGGGAGGAGCTCGGTAGCTCTCATGACATCCTTAGCCAGCAAACAGAGTGAGGAATGGCTGCTGTTTAGGTTGCTTTCTCCTTTTAATTAAGTAGGATTCCTGGCTGTGGATGGTGCTGCCATATTCAAGGTGACTCTTCTCTCCTCAGTTATACTTCTCTGAAAATCCTCTTACAATCAAGTCCAGATCTTCTAGATGAATCTAAACCCATCTTAACATGTTCCTACTATCTTTTCTTGGTATTTGGGGGTAGGTGTTGAAACTTACTACATGCCTTTGGGCCAGGCTCACCTGCAACCCCCACAACTAGGGCCAGCTCTACTCTGCTGCCCAGGTGAAATCCAGGACCTGCTCTAATGAGTGCTTCAGCAGATGAGGGACAGGAACAGCTCTCCTGCTCCCATCATTCCTGGGCCAACTCTTTCAAGGCCTTAAGTGGCAAGGGGTGAGAGCGGGGCGGGGGGAGGGCATAGCTCCCTCACTCATGCAGACACATGGTAGATAAGTTGTGGGGCCAGCTCTCCCAAGCTCATTGTCCTTGGGGATGGCTCACCCACACCTCTGCCATCAGGGTCAGCTTTACCGTGCTGTCCAGATTAGGTACAGGGCTTGTTTTCCTGAGTGCTGCAGCAGCTGAGGGGTATTGACAGCTATCTCATTCTGATGACCTTGGGACTAGCTCTTCTGCTTGCTCTGCAAGGGGTAAAGTGGGGGGCATTTTCTCCTCACCTATGTCACCACTTAGCAGACAACTGGAAGGGCCAGCTTTTCCATGCAAATGCCCTTGGGGCTGGCCCTGCCACCAAGGTCAGTTCTACTGTGCTGCCCAGGTAATGTACAGAGCCTGTTCTTCCCAATGTTGCAGCTGATGAAGGGCAGGGACACTGACACGCCACTCAGGGGAGATGAAATGCAGCCTAAGATAGGGGTCCCAGCCCATGTTTATCTGGGTGAGAAATGATATGGGCTAAGATGAAGGCTGTGGTTCTCAAACTCCTGGGTACCCAGATGCCATTGGGGACTTCGAAAAGTTAAGAATTGGGGCCAGGAGCCGAGATGAATCAGATATGGAGGGATATTTTGCAGTGGTGGTTCAGGGTGGACCAGATATTAAATACCTTTTGCAGGAAGGAATGCCTGGGAAGGGGAGCTTATTGGTTAAACCCTCAGGGTCCATTAACATGGAGATACCTCATTAACATGGAGAACTCTAAGCTCTATACTACATGACCAATTGTCATGATCCTCTTAGTGGAGTGTCCTGGTCACGTGTTCCAGGACAGGAACTTGGTTGGGAGTAGATTTAAATGCCTACCTTCCTTTCTCAATTAGAAATATCAGGGTTCCTGAATCTACTCGACCTTACCAGTCTTTCTGTCTGGTGCAAGGTCCACTGCATGGTCACTAGGTAGGAGCCTAAGCATAGAGCCAGTTCTCCCATGCTCATACTTCATGGCTGTCTCACCTGCCATGTCTGCAGTGTGTGGTATCCAGTGTCCTGAGCAGCTGGCTAAGGGCAGGGTCAGCTCTCCTCCTTTTACTCCTCGGGGTCACTTCTCCCATGATATCTAGGCAAGAGGTGGGGCCATTTCTGCACAGCCCTTAGGCATCAGCATGTCCCTTGATGGCAGCCCAGACCAGGGCTTTGGTGGTAACAGACCTCTGCTGTTGCAAGGCCACACACTCAGATGTGGTCCCCCAGTGGCATCATAGGCTAGGATACCTCTCCCATTGGTCCCAGGTAGCATCACTGGCTACTCATCAGTCTGTCCACACTGCCCTCAAGTCTTCACGTTTGCCTCTCTTCATTGTGCCCACATCTTTCTGTTTCTCTTTCTCTTCCGTGTCTCCACCACCTACTTGCTCCTCTTGGCGGTGCTCACGGTCTATGAGTGTCAAAGATCATCTCAGGAGGGATATCGGGGTGCTATGTCCCACCTGTGCACTACACTAGGTCATCTTAGACATTGGTCTACCTCCTTCCAGGCCCACGTAGTGGTGCTGGACTGGTGGTCATCTCAGGCTCAGTTTTTTCAGAGAATCAGGGAAAGCTTCTGATTATTCAGATGTTCATAGGTCAGAACATTGAGCATAGGCATAGCCTCTCTCTTCTCTGCCACCTACTGGCACACATGTGACACAGCAGCCATGCCTGCAATGCCTCTAGGAGCAGTTTTCTTCTCATATCTAAATATCAGATTAATATATCTTCTCATTATAGTGATGGAATATTTGATTTTTTAAAATTTGTTGTTCTACTACAGAAATATCTGCTCTTCCATATCCATGGCTGCCTTATTCCAGGAAACACAAGTAGCCATGATGAACATCAGCTGATGAATGGATAATGAACATGTGGTATATTTATACAAAAGGAAATCATTCAGCTATTAATAAAAATGGAACTCACAGGTGAATGGGAGGATCTGGAAGAATCTTTTTGTGAGAGGTAACCTAGTCCCCGAAAGACAAACTTTACTTATTTTTTCTCATTTGTGCATATGAAGATGCTTTGCATCTTCAGGTCTGTGGCCTAGCAGCCTTCACAGGAAATGATTTACCACATGCATTTGTTTGAAGGGCTAAGCAGGAATGACAGAACACAAAAGGTTGAGTTGGGGTTTGTCCTAGCTGGCTTTTTGTCAACGTGGCACAAGTTAAGAGTCATTTGGGAAGAAGGAACTGCTTTTGAGAAAATGCTGCCCACCAGGCTGGCCTATGGGCAAGGTTGTAGGGCATTTTATTGATTAACAACTAATATGGGGGGGGCAACTCCTGGGGGAAGGGAGTGCCAGCTCTGGGGAGGTGTTGGTGAGTTGTATAAGAAGATAGCCTGGGCAAGCCATGAGGAGCAAGCTATAGGGAACAAGTCAGTAAGCAGTTTACCCCCAAAACCCTGACTAAGACAGGGTTGAGGAGGGGAGGGGGCTAGAGGAGAGAACATGGAGAGGGTTAAATAACACTAAAGACATTTTGAAAAGTTATATGGAAATCTATACCATAGACACACACACACACATAGACACACACACACACACACACACACACACACAGACACAAACACAGAGTTGAAATGGAGTTATCCTAAAATAGAGCAATAATGCCCCTACTAGACACTACAGGCTAACAAATAAAAAGACAAGTTCCAGAAACTGATTATTTCTTTCAGGGTCTTTGGCCAATGAGGTGCTAAAATCTTCCAAATTACAGTCTATTGCTATTGCCCTAGGTTGACCTCCAGAAGTCAACAGTAAGATCCTATTGCTGAAGATAACATATATTTGTATCATAAGATATTAAAAAATCAGGGTGATACTGATAGTTTTCATAGTACTGAAAAGCGCTATTCATAGAACATGGGAAAATAATCAGCAATCTTACACAGATGTGGACCCTGGCATCTAGAAAAATCTCTAGCCTGGAAAGTCACACTCACTGGTTCAATAGTGGCATGGACATCATAGGAATAACCAAACACTTTGTGATTGTATTTAAAGCTGCTTTACAAGATGAAGCCCATAGTTGACACCATTATCAGGCCAAGAAACCATGGCTAGTAGGTCTTAGACCCTAAAGGAGAATCTACTGCTATCATTCTGCCAAATGTAGCATTAAAATAACTCCTAATGACATTATTTAGACAGATCAATGCATTTCTAAATCCTCACCTAAGAAAGTTCTATTTGTGATTAGTGCAGAGACCCAAAGTTGGCCAAGACGCAGAGAGTAAGAGACTGCAGAATGCTCAGCCCTAAATGGAACATATGTTCCATACTCTCTCCTTCCAATGCTCAGAATTCACTGTGGCAGAGGAGTTGGAAAGAATGTAAGAGGCAGAGATGGTTGATAACTATGTAAGAACGATATTTTCTGGATACAAGAGGTCAGTTGTGAACTGAGAGTAATTGTGACAGACCTATATAAACTAAGGATACAAGACCTATATACGCTCAAACCAGACTCAATCTATAGAGAAGGGAATTGGGTATAAAATACCACCCCTAGTAGAGGAAGTATTGGCTAAGGATAGCTACCTGTAGAGGGAGAGTCAATTTTCTCTCAGAGAAAACTCACCACTGGTAAGTCAACCATGCTCCATTGGAAGACTGCACATCCAGGGACATTTGGGTCGCACAAATTGGTCTTGATAGGGTTAAAATAACAACAAAAGGAACTCGAGTGTGTATAGAAGTAGATCTGGATCTGGAAATAGCTGGAGGAATGGGTATATGTGATCAAAATACCCACAAAACTCACGAAGAACTAAAATAAAATATGCTGTTTGAGCTGCTGACTTGAGTGTCTTTACAAAGTAATTAAATGAATGTTGGCTTCAGATGAGAGGAAAATTTTCCAACCACTTCTGAAGTGGCCTTAAACATACTTCTGCCTCTTTGCACCAAACATTTATGTAAAGTGGCATTCTCAGAGTTGCTGACTATAAAATCAAAATATCAATCCACTCTGAAAAACATTGAAGATGCTCTATATTCTGCCGTATCAAATAGTCAGCCAAGATTTAATTCCTTATGTAAAACCAAGTACATCCACCTCATTAGCATGCAAATTTGCTTTTGTCTTTAGTGGTAAATTACATGCATACCAAAATAGTAAAATTATATGCATACCCAAGGATCATTTTAAAATAAGTTTCTCTATGATTTATTATTAGCAAATGTTTATGTGTATATCTAATTTGCAAACCTGTATCTCAGGATCACATGAAAATTTCTCTGTAAAAGCAACTTTTATTTGCCTGACATAATCGTCGTCTCAGAGGCTTACTGCTGAATAAGCTCACCCCTTCCAGTTCTTTCTGAACTCTTGCTGGCTGGTTCAACTCAGCTATTTTGGCTTAAACTCCTCTCTAAGCTAACCAATTTAATCTGGCTTCTCTCAGCATCTCATTGAATTGCTCTGCTTGGCCTCAAACTAACCCTGGCAATTTGTTCTAGTCTTCTGATTCCTTCTCATTCTCGGACTCCACCTGTCTCTACTGACCTGCACTGCGCTGCACTGCATGAACTCACAAACTCAACTCCACTGCAGTGCACACACTGCACTGAGTCCCAACTGACTGACTCACCTCCACTGCATTGAACTCCACTGATGGATCAGAGCTGACTGACACTCTCTCCCTGCCCTGGTCTTAGGTACTTTTCTCCTGAGGGTTGGGCATATCCTATCTCTGCCTCATTCTGTCAAATCTTTCTCTGATTCGCCACTTATAAATCACTTATATAAATCTGCTCCTCAATTAGATGCCATTGTTTGGGATTAAAGGTGTGTACTAAAGGTGTATCTGTAGTTCAGCCAGATCATACTGTAGTCCAGAACATACCTGCATTCTACCAGGATCATCTAGACCTAGAATGTCTTTGGGTGTAATCTCTTGTCAGAGCAGCTAGATTACAATTCCTCTACATTTCTCAGGTGAAAAGAAGTCATGAGCAGAAAAGTTTAAGAAGTCTTATACTGCAAAACATGTACAAATTATTGAGATGTATGGGTCTGAAGAGAATATGATGTCCATTCAGCAGGAGTAAACCCTGTGGACCATGCAGACTCCTGGCCTAGGACTGCACCTTGAAAATCTGAAATGATCCTACAGCTCCTTCCCAGTGTTTCCATAACAACACTGGGGCTACTGGACATGCAGCTAAGTGAACACAGAGAAAGCATGAAATTAGACCCAAATACACGATGTAGGAGAGCCTTGAAAAACTAGTCAGGCTGTGAGATGCGCTGGTGTCCTGGTGAGGTTCCTGCAAGGGTGCGAACATCAGAGAATTTCATGTCCATCTTTGGAATTCCTGTGCCATCTTTAATACCCATACTTTGTTATCTGAGGTCTTTTGGCATTTGGTTATCTATATTGGTTACTGTTGTGATTGAAATGAGACGTACCTTGTAGGTACATGTGTTTGGGCTCTTATGCTTGGTTTCTAGCTGGTGATGATATCTGGGAAGGTTATAGAATCTCTGGGAGGTGGCACCTTCCTGGCCCTAGATGTAGAGTCCCTCTTGGTGGGGTGTACCAGACAACAGGGAGGGAAAGTATGGAAACTGATGGACTCTATTCTCCTGAAACTGTGAGCTACAGAAGCCCTTTCTTGCTTCACTTCCTTTGTCAATGTATTTGCTCACAACAGTGCAAAAGAGACAAGTACACCTTCCAGTTTTCTGCTCATTCACCAACTCCTTCCTGCTCCTACTGTCAGTCAAGAATGGAATCAGTTGCTCAAGTTTGAAATTTGGTTGGCTTCCCTAAAGGTCCATGTATTGAAGGCCTGTTTCTACAGTCTGCTGCTACAGGGAAATGGTACTATCTTTAGGAAATGGGCCCCATGAAAAGAGCTTCTGAACTGGTATGAAGAGAGCAACCACCTTGATAATATACTTTTAAAATGACACCACTGTGTCCAGTCATTTAAAAAACCAACAATCTAGCAACTTTCCTCCTTAACTGATTCTTAAGTTCTGTCACAGTAATATAAATCCAACTAACATACTAGCCCTTTAACTTAGACATTTGTGGTGTTCTCTGTTGGCCCTCCTTGGATGTGGGTAATGCTGAGGTTCTGGGTAACGTGTGTACCTAGGATGCTACCTGATACAGAGTCATCCCAGTCTTTTCAAGAGAGATCTTGAAAACACATGTGTGAAAAGAAGCATAATCAACATTGGGAGGGGGATACTGCAACAGATGGGGCAAGTAGGAGCCCTGCCTAAGGGGTCAGAAGGTTACAAGAATAGGTACCTTGTGGGAATCTTAAGGTAAACAGTACATAGAACCCACAGGGATGGCTGAGGCTGGTAGTGATCTCACCAGGGCTCCATGCTCGGGCTCTTGTCTTTGGATCACTGTCAGCAGGGATCAGCAACGTTTCTCCTACTCTATATAAGGTAACTAAAGCAACATAAGTCATCCTTTTATGTGACTCTTAATTATTTTCCCTCCATGAATCAAGAAACTGTCAATAAGTGAGCTCTTCTCCCCTCTGCATGCATAACTAAAGCGCCATTCATCAGACTCCAAGCAGAATTATTGATGAAGGGTGCAAGGTTATTGAGAGCAATATAACAACATTATGTTGGTAGCGATGGATGCTTTACAGCTTTCAGGGCATTTTGTTGTCTATTAATTCTTCCAATCCTTCAAACTTCCCAGAAG